ATTCCAGCCCCTGCTAGCCATCCTGTCCTACTTGAGGGGAGGAGAATAAAACTGAGAAATATTTGGGAAGCTCATGGCCCAGGGGCATAGGCTTACCCAAGTCTGAGACCTGCCACAGGACTACGGACCATGTCTCCTCCCCCAACACCAAATGCCTATCTACAGCAATTCCTTTCCCCTACTACACTACGTGGGGCAAGCCAGCAAGTTACAACGCAGAGCGAAAGGCAAACAGCACAATCTGAAGAGACAGGGCACCCATGGCAGGGATGTTGGAATGATCAGACTGGGAATTGAAAACAACTGGCATTAATTAGCTAAAGGCTTTAACAGATAAAGTACATGACATACAGGAAAGATGGGTGCTGTAAGCAAACTGGAATTCCTCATAAAGAACCAAAAAGATGGGGGCGCCTGGGTGGCTCAGTCGGTTAAGCATCTGTCTTAGGCTCAGTTCATGATCCCAGGGTTCTGGGATCGAGTCCCACATGGGGCTCCCTGCTCAGTGGGGAGTCTGCTTCTCCCTCTCCCTCTGCCTCCTGCTTCCTTGGCTTGTCTTGCCCCTCCACTCCCGTGTGAAATAAATAAATAAAATCTTTAAAAAAAAAAAAAAAAGCTTGCGATCCCACCACCTTTATGCTGACAGCACCTGGCACACTGTGACACAATTCTGCTGACAGTCTGGAGTTTGGATTCTACAGGCTGGAGGACACTGTCCCAGCGGGACTGCCCTTGTTCCAGACAGCAGCCACACTTCCAGGGTCCCCAGGCCACCGACACTTCTGGCTGGCAAACCCAGAAGGTAATGCTAACCTTGAAAATGAAAATTGTAATACCAGCAAAAATAGATTTATTCAGGAATAGCAGAGAATTGCAATTCAGGAAATGCAAGTCATGGCAAAACCATACACAAGTCCTGAGAACAAAGAGGAGGAACATTCTTTTATAGAGGAAAGGTGGTGGGGGTTGGTTGGGAGGGCTGTTACAGTCCGTTAGAGTAAACTGGGAGTTCAAATGTAGGGGCTTTTCCCTGGCTGAGCTGTAATGGTTTCTCACTGGCTGGGCTGTTGCCAGGGAAGGAGAAAATCTCCCTTCCTCCTGATGGAGTAGTAAAGTGTAGGCTTCTTCCAGCAAGGTACTCTCTTCCCATTGGGTCTGCAAATGGCTGCAAGCAGTGGTACAGCATGAGAGCTCCCCCTGCCAGCCTCCCAACTCCATTTTTCAAAAAAGATTTCATTTACTTGTAAGAGAAAGAGAGAGAGGGAGCATGAGCGGGGGATGGGGGGTACAGAGGGAGAGGACAGAGGGACAAGCAGACTCGGTGCTGAGCCTGGAGCCCGAGGTGGAGCTCAATCTCATGACCCTGAGATCATGACCTGAGTTGAAAGCAAGAGTTGGACCCTTAACCAACTGAGCCATCCCGGTGCCCCCCAACTTCATTTTAAATGAGGTTTCCTTTATTCAATTTTGCAGTCACACGGGATCTTAGTCTGAGATGCTGTAACAAAAACACCAGAAACTGGGTGGCTTAAATCACATTTATCTCTCACACTTCTTTTTTTTTTTTAAATGTATTTATTTGACAGAGAAGGATCACAAGCATGCAGGCAGAGGAGGAGGAAGCAGGCTCCCCGCTGAGCAGGGAGCCCCATGCAGGACTCGATCCCAGGACCCTGAGATCATGACCTGAGCCAAAGGCAGAAGCTTTAACCCATTGAGCCACCCTGGCGCCCCTCTCACAATTCTGAAGGCTGGAAGATCCAGCCAAGATCCCGCACTGGTTCATTCCAAGTCTGGTGAGGACTTCAGGCAGCTGCCTTCCTGTTATGTCCCCCACAAGGCAGAAGGAGCGAGAGAGCTCTACAGGTGTCTCTTTATAGGGATACTAATCTCATTCATGAGGGCTCTGCCTTCATGAACTAATCCCCCACCCCTTTCCACCGCATTGGGGGTTAGGCTTCAACATACGATTTTTGAGGCAACACAAACATCCAGTCTATGGCAGAGAACGTCCCTCGGGCTCAAGAATTCATGAAAACTTAAGAAAGAAAAGAAAAAGAGAGAGACAGAGAGAAGGAGGTAGAGAGAGAGGGAAAGGGAAAGGGAAAGGGAAAAGGGAAAGGGAAAAGGGAAAGGAATTCACGAGAACTCACAATGCTCAGACCTGCTGTATGTTTCAGCGTGTGTAGACATGCACACAACATCTGAGCTGCAGAAAGGAGCACCAGACACTGCTTTGTTACATTCAGATTAGAAGGCAGGTCAGCCAGTCTCCACCCTAGTAGTTCTCGTGGGTTTCAAAAGATCTGTGTCTACAGCCCCAAGTATCTCCTGAAGAATTAGCTCCTTAAAAAAAAAAACAGCTCATGAAATAATAGCTCAAATATTCCGAATTCACTAAAATCAACAGTGGGGGAGGGAGAATTAAAGAGATGATGTCCCAGTATCAGTTGGAGATCACAGACAGACCCTTTTCAGAGGAATGAAAACAGAGGCACCGGCCAGTCCTGGATAATACAAAAAGCTGACCGTGACCTGCTCACGCCAGAGTGACTGAGTCAGTCCCTGACACCCTCGTCTGGGGCGGTAGTTTTTTGTTTGTGTTTCTAGGGATTTCTGACTCCTCCCCAGGGAACCAGGGGGCGTCTAGGAGGCACCCCCTCCAGGATGGGATGGCCAGAGTAGTGAGCGGAGGAACCCAATACCATCTCCTCTGATTTATTTTGCAAAACGAGACCTCAGACGAACACAAAGCTGGCCTGACCTTGAGGAATCTGGGTCGGGCAGTGGCGAGGGAACGTTAAGGGTCACCACTGCACAGAGAATGGCTCAAGACAGCAAGGGTTTGCCTCTCCAGAGCACCTTGCCCAGAGCCCAGCTTGGGTTACCTGCTTGCCCCTCACACACAGAGGGGAGCTCACTTCCCGAGCTGAGATCTGCAGCGGACAGCCAGGGCAGGACCCCCAGCTCAGCTGCAGTGCTCCCCTCCTCTCAGCCCAGCTGTCTCCCAGGTGGGAACTGGCTTCAGACCAGGCTTTTGTTTCAAAGATCAATGAAGATGCTTTTGACCTGGGCCAACAGCAGAGAAGATTCACCAAAGAACTCTTCTTCTCAGGATCAGAGGAGGAAAACTTTAAAAAAAAAAACACACATCTCGGCTACTGTAGGGATTCCTTCCCTACAAAGAGGATCTTCCCTACTGTAGGGATCTCTTCCCTACAAAGAGGATCTCCCTCCCAAGGAAGTGGAAGTCCTTTCACACCTGTCAGGAATTTCCAGGGCTCCGGACCTGACTGGAGTGCCCCGGAATTCCAGCATGAGGCCACAGATGTGTTAAATTCTCATATATTCATAGAAGAGGTCTGGGGTCCCCACATCCCCAATGATGACCTCTATTTAACACCACAAAGAGCCTGATCTGAGCCCCCTCCCCGCTTTAGGAGTGTCCAGAGCAGGCTTCATTTCACCAACGGGAGGCTAAATTCCTCCCACTTTGGATTGGGAATTTACATCCTGACATCAGGATATAAGGAGCTCGGGAAATTCTGGCAGTCCATTCCCTCCTTCCTCTTTGCAGACGGGGGTTATTTTCACTGCACAGAAATGCTGCAGGAAAATTAGCCCCTTGTGCTTGAGCCCTGTGGGGCGTTCTCTCCCTGGCCCTTAAAGTCTCTGGGCCCCCGAGCCTGGTCAAGCCCGACATCTGGAATTAGCTCAAAGGAGGAAAAGAGCAGGGGCTAGAGCGAGTGACGGGCATCTGACTCCCATGAGGGCCAGCCCTGGGCGTGCAGCCTATGGCAGGGGATAAACAGGAATGCTCCTGCTTCCCAGGGATCTGCCAGAAATGCTGTGGGCCACAGATAGTCACCCCAGCAGGTGAGCTAGTATGGTCCCAGAGGCAGCCCCGCATGACCCGCCCACGTGACTACAGGCTGTGGAGAGAAAACCTAGTTGTCCTGTGCTGGCCACCGTGGTCTCTCCAACAGCCAATCCAGGATCTCAGTCCTGGGGAGGAAAGGCTATCACGGAGTCCAGTCATCAGTAGGAGGGCAAGACGACACTCTAGTAGGAGCAAAACCACCACACTCTGTCAACCCAGAGCAGGGTCGCTCTTGCCCCATGGAGTTCCTTGCCCCAAAGCCTAAGCTACAGGAAGAAGGCCTCCCCCAAGCTCTGGGTACAGCCAAAGAATGTCTGCCAAGAGTGGGAAACGGGAGGGGTTTCCATCCATGGGACCTGGGTCACCTTGACCTTGAATCACAAATTCCACAGAGGCTGATCCAGATCATGGTTCGAAACCTTAGCCTGAAAAGTTTCCTGTTGGGCTGAACATCTGAAAACCATCGACGGGGTGTGTGAGGTAGGAGGAGAGGAAGGGGAGCAGGGCTATTTTCAAGTGGGGGGAGAGGACACACACCTTCCAGAAACTCTGATCTGGGTGGAGATCTGCCATGGGTAGTTTCTCTTAAGAACATAAAATACCCGAATCCCCACGTTAGGGGGGTGATGAATAATACTGAATTTCAGTTATTTTGGAATTTTTAAAAAAATCTATTGAGTTGAATAGCCCTATGGAAGTAATCAAAACAAAAAGATCCGAAGGCTGTTCCAGGCAGCAAAGGAGCTCACGCCACGTCACCTGGGGAAGAGCACGCAGCGGCTGCACACTCCCTGCAACAGAGAAGGGCGCTCAGGATTTTACCCCTCAGAGCCCCGTCCAGCTGCCAGCAGCTGGAGACCTACCAGAACAAGGAGGAGATCACCCTGCCCTGACAGGCACAAGAACGTGGCCATGCCTCCTGGCCCGTGATGCCATCACCCCCACCCCTTGCTCCGGCCGGATCTCTCCTCTTACCCCATCCCCCGACCCCCGCCTCCCACCAGTCCCCACCCCCCAACACTCTCAACCCCTGGGGAATCACAGGAGACCCGCAAAGAGGTCCACCTGTGGCTCCGTCGCCACAAGCCGGGGCCCGCAGAGGCCCACGTCCGTGGCCTGCCTACTTGTAGGAGCAGATGGAGAGCATGGCACCGGCAGAGAACACCCAGAAGGCCGGGTACAGCGCTTCCGTGAAGTCCACTTTGTACTTATACATCAGGTGGACCTTGTCGGAGACGGCAAAGAAGATGACAAAGCCATGGTCACAGTTGAGCAGCACGCCGACCCGCGTGGCCTTGGTGGAGGGCAGCGTTTTCTCCACATTGTTGTGCCACGCAGAGATCTTGGTGTTGAACCACTCCACGCACCACGAGGCGCTGTTGCGGCCGAGCCGGCTCTCGGGGCCCTGGCGCGGCATGCTGCCGTAGCAGACGCCCACCCCGCAGAAGTTGTTCTTCTGCAGCTCCACCTCCCAGTAATGGATCCCTTTCTTGTAGCAGTACAGGCCCAGCACCTGAGAGCAGTACATGAACCTCTTGGGATGCGGCTGGTAGTTCAGGGGTGATTCAGCCACAGAGGCGACCATGTAGTTCTCCGACAGCGCCACCTTGTTGTGGGCCGTGTTGTAGTCCAGGCTGAATTTAATGGCATCTAAGAAGACATGACCCAAGGAATCAGTTACAAGGAGCCCAAAGTGCTCTCACGTATAAACCTTTCCCCAACTGGTAGTACTTATTCATTTATTTTACCCATTCATCTATCCTTCCACCTGTCCATCCATCTACCCACCCACCCATCCATCCACTTACCTACTCATCCACCCTTCCCTCCTTCTTTCCTTCCCTTCCCTTCCTTCCTCCCTTACAGCCATCCAACCATCTCCATCCACCTGCCCACCCACCCATCCATCCATCCATCCTTCCATCCCGTCCATCAGTCCATCCATCCACTCACCTGACCACCCATCCAGCCATCCATCCTTCCTTCCTTTCATCCATCCATCCGCCCATCTATCCACCCACCCATCCATTCACCTACCCTTTCATCCACCCTTCCTTCCATCCATCCACCTACCCACTCACCCACCCTTCCTTCCTTCCATCATCCATTCATCTACCCATATATCCATCCATATACGTATCCATCTGTCCATCATCCATACACACATCCATCCATCCATCCATCCATCCATCCATTCTGTCCAGCCAGCCAGACATGTGTCCATCTGTCTATCCATCAATCCAGCCAACTGTCCATCTATCAGTCACCCAGATGAGTGACCATTCATCCACCCAAAGCCATTGACTGAGCACCTGATTCTGGGCAAGACGCACGACTCTGACTAGACATGGTACCTGACCTCAGGGCAAGGCCAGCCCATCAGTGACAACACTGTGAGGTGGCACTCTGCTCAATGAGTGGGCGTACGCTCTAGGGACCAGTGGCTCTACTTGGAGGGTGGGGAGCGCACAGGGGAACGTCTCGCAGGTAGGCTGGAATTGGCGCCAAGCACAGGAAGCTGAGAAATATTAAACAGAAGCAAGCAGCATGGGGTGAGGTCATTCTGGGCAGAGGGGATAGCGAGAGCAAAGCTTGGAGTCACAGGAAGGGTGGGCACGTACTGGGACCAGAGAAGGCTAGGCAGTGGGAGAGAGGCCCTAGCAGGAGAAGAGAGACATGTTGGGGACACAGGGCAGAGAGCTAAAGGGTCTAGACTTTACTTGGTGAACAACAGGGAGCCAAACACAGAAATTACCGGAGTATTCCTGGTTGGGACACTCACATGGCCTCCCCACCCTTCCCAGCACACTTCCAACAGCTCTAGGAGATTCGAAGACTGAGCTCAGCTGTGTGTTGTCGCTACGCTCAAACTCCTTCCCGGGACACACCCATCTCTGCCCTTCCCCTCCCAGGAGCACCCCCAACCGTGGGAGACAGATTCCCCAGGCAGCCCAGGGGAGGGGAAATCCCTAGCTTGGGAACCTGGAAACCAAGACCCAGGGGTTTCACCATGGCCTGCCATTCCCTTGCTGGATGGCTCTGGGCAGGACGTTTTTCCAGGAGGCCTGAGCCACCCACCCCACCCTACACCCCAGGGGGACAAAACAAACAGAGGAGGGAAAATGTTCTCTACAGTCCTGCGTTGCTGGAACTCCCTTTCTTTGCTCTCGTGGCTACTCTCCAGGAGCCCAGGGCTCCAGAAACCCGTGGTTCAGTGAGCCACCAGCGGCCCCACGGTGGTTAGCCCAGCCGCACCAAGCCTGGGTCTTGCAAGGGAGTGGGAACAGCAGGAGCTCTGGAGAGGCAGGCCCTGAGGAAGTTTCCCCCACACCCCCAAGACAGCTCAGCCGGCTGCACCTGTGAAGAAAGGGGGGCCAGGGCGCCCTCTGCAGCGGGAGGTCTCGTGTACTGCATCCAAGTGGGTGCAGATGGGAAACAGGAGGAGCCTAGAGCCGGCGCTGAAGGACTGCCAACCGCTTCCAGGCGGTCAAGGAAGGACAGGCTCACAAAGGTGCTTAAGAAGGAACAGAAGTGCAGGTGGCGCCCAGGGGAGCCCAGTCCTTAGAGAAGGACTGATGCGGCTAAGAGGTCCAGCACCCTGAAGGTTGAAAGGCGTCCTTGACGTTTAGCTACATGGGGGCTGCCACTACCCTCGGCCAGAGGTGGCCTGCTGCAGGGCAGGGACAGAGGCCAAACTTGCAGCTCTTGTCCCCCCATAGTCCCGGGAAAGCTTGGGCAGCAGCGGGACGGGGTCAGGGCCCCAGGGGGTTCTGACAGGCAGCCACAGCAATGTGGTTGTATTTTTCCAACTTCCCTCAGAAGGATCATGGAGGAAAGGCGATTACCCCCCAGCTTTCTGGGCTGGTCCCCAGCAGCCTGACCTTGCAGCCCTGGCCTGGGGCCCAGGAATCTGTACTTCTCCCCAGTATTCAGGTGAAAGGGAGGCTGTCTGCACTGGCGGCTTTCATATTCCTGTTTGTTTTGTTTTTGCTTTTGCAATGAGGGGAATTTAAACACGCTGTTGCCGGGGGGCAGGCCCCAGGAGAGCCTGAGCGCAGACAGAGCAGGAGTAGCCAGACTGGCCGTGGGGAGGAGGGCATGGTGGGGAGGCAGCAAGTGGAGATGCAGGAGAGATGGCAGCAACAAGAGGCCGAGGGGCCCCTCTTCTCTGTGAAGCGGAGGAAGGTAGGTGGACAGGGAGAGGACCCGTTATGACAAGTTGGAAGCCTCTGGAATGGCAGGAGAGCTGAGGAGAAATCTGGAGTGGGGGTGCTGGCAGTGGGCCCCCAGCGATGCCCGAGGCATGGGCTGGGCAGCAGGTGCGGGCCCAGAGAAAGGGGCGAGCTGAGCTGGTGGTGGCGGGGCGGCGGGGGGGCGGGGGACGTGCTGAAAGGGGAGCGAGCAAGGCTGTGGCAAAGTGGAGGGCAGGCCAGTGGCTAACAAGGGGAAGGGGGAACCAAGCTGGATGTCCAGAGAGAGGCGAGGGTAGAGATCAGAGAGTAGAACTGCACAGAAGAGCCTGACAGCCAACAGGACCGCTCCTCAGAGCCGACGCTACTCACACTCCAGGAGCTCGGGCCTGGACTTGGCTAAGAAGGTCTCCAGCACCTTGGCCTTGACGGCCGCCGCGTTGGGCTGTGCAGTGGGGGCTTTGACTACACCTGGGTGAGGACACAGAGAGCGGTTTTCAGAACAAACTCAGAGTAGACACCCCACACTGCCCCCAACCCTCCAGGCTAGCCCAGGACTTAGGACTCACCCTCCAGATCCAGGAACTCTCCCTGGGCTCCGAAGGTGGGCATCTTGGTGGCCAAGGCTCCGAACGTGGGCATCTTGGAGGCTGAGGCGGGGGCTGCAGATGAACAGGAGGAGGAGAAACATGAATTGGACACATGATACGGTGGCCCGATGGCCCGTCCTCCCTTCCACACTGATCTTCAAGAACTACTTCCACGCACACATCTGGACAGCCAGAGCGACACAGCCAAGTCCAGACAGGGCTGCACTCATCACTCGTCTTGCTCACGTGCACTCGTGCTTAGCCCCAACCTCAGGCCCACCCGCCACCCCAGAGCGTAATCACAGAACCCCGACCGGAGAGGTCAGCCTTTGCTGCCAGCCGTCGGTTCCACACTCGGGCAATCCCAAGAAACAGTAAGAGGCAAAAATGCATAACTTACAAGGTTTCTTGGGTTTCTTTTCTTCTTCTGAAAAAGAACATTTTCCAAATTGATATTATGAAGCACAGCACAGTGACACTTTCAAAACACCGTAACAGGGGCGCTGGGGTGGCTCAGTGGTTAAGCGACTGCCTTCAGCTCAGGTCATGATCCCTGGGGTCCTGGGGTCCAGCCCCATGTCAGGCTCCCCATGTCAGCGGGGAGCCTGCTTCTCTGCCCCCCTGCCCCCCCGCCCCTCCCTCCGCTCATGCTCTTGTGCTCTCCTGCGCATGCTCTCTCAAATAAATAAGTAAAATCTTTTTTAAAAGCTGCCATTATAATAATCATTTGCATGAATGTGACCCATACAAATAGAGCTAGGATGTTTTCCCTGGAAACAAGCAAATGAATCTGTGGTGACAGAACCTGCATCAGTGGTTTTGGGGGCTGGGACTGACAAGGAGGAGCATGAAGGAATTTTCTGGGGTAATTAACTCTTTAACTTGATTTGGGTAACTAACACACACATACACGCCTATCAAAATTATCAAAGTGCACATTTAAGATCTGTACATTGTACTGTAGATAAATTATATCTCTATAAAAGAAAAAATACTCCAACCCCCCCCCAAAAAAAAGGAAATCAGCAAAGAAATGTGCTTGCCAAATTATCACAACCGTCTTTAAAAAATTCTCTGGAACGTGCACCTATGAAAACTGAATGTACACTCTTGAGCCCCACCCAGGACCCTGCTGACTCTGACAGTCCGGGGCTGGGGCCCAGCGACCCGTGTTTTACACACTCCTGGTGGGTCTGAAACATACTCAAGTCTACGTGAGCTAGATTTCAGGTTCCCTCCACCACCATCCCTACCACTAGAGTGAAAAGGGGTGCTGTGGATCTTACCCCTGCCCGCAGACAAACCCTGCTCTCTCCTATCATCCTCTACTTCCCCACCAGCCCCCACTCAGCCCCACAGGACACCCACCTCCCCTCCCCCACTCTCCCTTCCTCCCACTTCCAAGTCCTCTGTCCAGATGCTGTCTTCACTCCGGCCCCATCGCCTCCTGCCCCGCCCACTCCCGCAGGACGAGCCTCTTGGGAGGACCCTAGGCTGAGCGGCCACCTAGGGCACAGCCCCCTCCCTGGCCCTCAGGGCTGTCCTGAGTCTCATCTACGCTGTGACATCTGTCCACTCCTCCCCTGCCTGTTGTCCCGTCTCAGCCAGCATCCCCAGCTCACTCCTGCTAAGAGCAGCGCTTGTGATCTGGGGCAGCTCTGGGGGAGAGGGGCGGGGGGGGGGGTGCGGGGGGGTGATCTGCGGACATGGGTGCCCAGAGCCTGTTCACTGACTTTTCCTTTCACTGGTCACACCAGGTGCCCCTCCACATCTGCTCGCTGAGCTGGGGGCCACCTGCTCCACCTACACCAGGCACCTCTGCCCCTGGCTCTGTACTCCGTTCGGAGACCAATACCACACATCTGTCTGCCAAAGGCAGCCTAAACTCGAAAACAAAGCAGCGGGAGCACAGACCCAGAGTTCCCGCGGCTCCCAGGGGCAGCACGCCTCGGGGAACACTGACTTTTCAGGGAAGTGATGACAGGCACAGGTCGGGAAGTGTTCTGAGAGCAGCAGCACAGGATGACTCCAGAGGGAACCTCTCCGAACTTCCTCAGAACTCCCTCCCGGGTGAAGGGGTAGCCACTGCGCCTTGGGACCCGCGTCAGGCTCCTCCAGGGGGCGCTCCGCCCAAGGGCCAAAACTTGGGTGTCAGCAACTATTTCTCAAGAGGAGCAGGTGCTGGTAACCTTGCTGGCCCTGCTGAGCACCCCAGGGGAGTCCCTTCAATAGCCCCTCTAGCCAGACTCCTCTGCAGAGGCACTCGCCCCTCCCCCGCCCCCAGCCATTTGGGATGGGCTGACAGGAGCCCCAGAACAGCAGCAGGGTTACTTACTAGGGGCCTTTTTCGCAGAGTGGGTGGGTTTGTGCGTGGGTGCTGGGCCATGCTCTCCGGGGTTCCCTGTGCCAAAGAAGAAGGGGTTAGTTCTTCCAAAGCAACCCTAGCTTTGGGGCCAGCTTTGCCAGGGGCAGGCGGAAAAAGGGTTTACAAAGGTGATCTCCACTGACCTTCCCTACCCAATCCTTTACAAGAGCTAGAAACAAGGGCACGAAAAGGGTTTGGTGTGTCCTTCTTTTCTCTGGCTGAAAATGTAGCTGGGGTCAATGTTTTCTCTGTCAGCGCCCTGCTCCATAACCTCTGGAGCCTCTCTTGAGGTTCTGGATCTTCTGGTGTCAGTGGGGACAAGCCCTTTGCTTGTGGCAAAGAGGCCAAGAGGCCTCATTCCTCACCCACTGGTTTTTCCATCACCCTGCCCCAGACCAGCAATTACTGATGGAGCGGGAAAACAAATATATGCATGGCCAGCTCGTCAACAGCCATACTCTCTGCATACAGCACGCCATGCCGGTTTCAGAGGCCCTTCCGCAAGGACACTCAGCTCTCCAAGCCCCACCCCTGGGATTACACTGGAAGATTCGCTATGTGCCAGGCTCTGTGCTAGGCACTGGGGAGAGAGAGTTGGATGACAAACAGACCAAGCCCCCGGCCCTCACAGAGACTGTAATCTAGTGGGGGAAGAACAAAATGACAGATGTGCAAAGGCTCCTGTGCAAAGGGATCATAAGGATCCTGGGACCTAGTCTGAGGAGTGGGAGTGGTGGTGACAGGGGAGGTTGACTGAGAAATACAGTATTTCAACTGATCTCTGAAGGGTGAGAGGAGTGAACTGGTGAGGATGGTGGAGTCTGAGCCTTCTGGGCAGTGGGAAGGGCACATACAAAGGCCCTGTGGCAGGAAGCTTGGCATATGCAAGGAAGAGCATGCACAGAGATGTGTGGGAGGAGGGGGCTCTTCAAGGCTGGTGAAACGGACAGGGCCTGACTAGGGAGGGGCCTGGAGAATAGTGTCAACAGTGTGGTCTGAGATCCAAAAACAATGGAAATTCTCTGAACAGGGTGAGGGGAGAAGGTCCCAGGAGATCAGATTTTCACCCTGAAAAGCTCTCTCTGGCTGCAGCAGGAGTGGATGCAGAAGGACTTTTTAGAAAGTTGACACAGATGGGGGCAACAGAAAGCAGGCAGGTGTTGGCTGGCGGGGGGCCAGTGGACTGAGTCAGGAGAAATTTAAGAAGTAAAATCTAGTCCTAGATTGGATACAATGGGCAAAGAAAGGGGGTATCAGAGGGGAATGCCAGGTTTCTCTGACCCCAAAACTAGCCATTCCCCACCAAAGACACTGATAACCCAGAGTCCATCCGAAAGCCACCTGAGCCAAGAACACACCCAAGAACAGCCTGTCCAGAAAGTCCCATCGTTTAACATCTAGGCACCCAGAAATGTTTTCAGAAGGATGGCTACAATGCAAGATGTTTCCCCGTGACCTCCCAGATGGAGGGCAGATGCAACTCAAGCCCCAGTGCTGTGGGCCGAGACCTTCCCCCACCCCTAAGCCCCAAGGGGACACCCCCATCTCAGGGGCCCCAGGAGGGGAGCACAGGGACTGCTAATGGTTACCTGAGCCGGTGGGTTCCTCGGGCTTCTTGTCCTGGGACTGCCTGATATACCGCTTCAGCTCATCTTTGAGGTCTGAGGTGCCCTGACAGACGCCCTTTATCAGCTCCTGATTCAGCTCCACCTTGGGGACGTAGACTGGCTTTGTGGACACTCCTTGCAGCTTTAGCCCTTTCTGAAACAGGCCAAGGCGTTAGTTTGGGCAGCTCCAGGGAAGCCAGGGCCCAGGCTCAGGCCTCACGAACCCCAGGAGGACCTTCCCTGTGCCCATGCGTGCTCAAGTGACAGGCCAGAGATCGCTGAGGGCTAACGGGCCACTTTCAATCACAGCTCTCTGGACCTGGAAGGGCCCTCAGAGGCCACTCACCTAGCAACGGAGAAACTGAAGTCAAGAAATAACACGTGTGAAAGGAAGAAAGAAAGAAAGAGAAAGGAAGAAAGAAAAAGAAAAAAAAAAAAGTAAACAACAAGCATTCTGCCAGGAACTCTGCCAGTTAGTGGCAAGGACAAAGTTGGGACACGCAAATCTCTGACCCCCCCGGCGGATAATGCTCTTTCGCTCCTCCCGCCGTGGCCAGCCAAGCACAGAGGGTCTGCAGCCCTCCAGGACCAGCTCTGCACACACGTTCTAAAACTGGATGGGGACACCTCAAGGGGCAAAGGGTTCAGCCAGGGCACATCTAGTGAAAAGGAAGGAGCTGCCAGAGGGTGCCACACTTTGAGATAAAATCGGGTCATACAGCATCAAAAGGCCCAAGGTAGGGACTTAGAATCCTTCTCAGAAAGCTCTAGGCAGCCAGGCCAACAAAGAGGAAGGAACACTGAGATGAAAGTCAGTGGTGCCCAATCCAGGCATGGAAAGAAGTCCATGCGGGGAGAAGAGAAGGTTCCCAGCCACTCCTGTACTCTCGCCAAGACCAAAATAAGGACTCCGGTCTTCTGAGATGACATTGCCCCATCGATGGGGCTCGGGGAACACCCGCTGTGTGCCAGGAGAAGGGGGCGGTAGTAAGGGATGGGTCTTCCCGAAGGAGCGGCAATCCGAACACACACAACCAGCAGATCGAAAACCAGGCCGCTGAGTGCTACAGCAGTGTGACCTGCTCAGTCACCAGTGACGGCAGAGCAACGGGATCCAAGGACGATGGGGGGAAGCTGGAGTGGCCCTGGAGAAAGGACAGGATTTACGAGGCAGAGAGGATCGGGCACGGCATTCCCATCCAATGCCCAGGGTGTCTGGGGAATGGCGGGTGCCCTGTTGTGGTTACAGCATGGGCAGGGCAGGGACTGGCAAGAGAGGAGGCTGCTGACAAGGACAGGTCACCCAGGTCCTTTAGAAAGACACTTCCAGGGTCCACCAGGAGGAAGAATGGAGGGAAGGGGACGGAGGCATTTGTAGTCGGCAACACTCTAAGATGGCCCCCAAGATGCCCGCCTCGTCCAGGGGTGAGGACCCTGTATGATCTCCTCCCCCCGAGTATGGGCAGGACTGTGAATACGGTAGGCTAGCACTCCCATGACTCAGTTCCCTTATACGGAAAAACTGCAGGAATGCTACAGATGTAACGAAGATTCGAAATCTGCTGGTTTTGAGTCCATCAGAAAGGCGAGTATCCTGGTGGGCCTGATTTACCAAGGGGGAGCCATTGAAAGGGACCAGGCTTGTAAGAGGGAATGAAATCTTGCCATTTGCAACAGCATGGACGGATCTGGAGACTAGCAGCATGCTAAGCAACATTAAGTCAGAGAAAGGCAAATACCACACAATTTCACTCACTTATGGGAATTTAACAAACAAAACAATGAGCAAAGGGGAAAGAGAGCGAGTGAGAGAGACAAAGCCAAGAAACAGACTCTTAACTCTAGAGAACAGTCTGGTAGTTACCAGAGGGGCATGGCGGGATGGGGAACAAGGTGATGGGCATTAAAAGTACACTTATCATGATGAACACCAAGTATACAGAATTGTGGAATCTGAATCTGGTGTACACCTGAAACCAATGTAACACTGCATGTTAACTAGATACTGGAATTAAAATGTTAAAAAAAGGAGGGGGGCCTGGATGGCTCAATTGGTGGAGCATGTGACTTGATCTCAGGGTCATGAGTTCAAGCCCCACATTGGGTGTGCAGCCTACTTAATTGAAATTTATTTTAAAAAGGAGAAAGAGGGGCGCCTGCGTGGCTCAGCGGGTTAAAGCCTCTGCCTTCGGCTCAGGTCCCAGGGTCCTGTGATCGAGCGCTGCATCGGGCTCTCTGCTCCGCAGGAAACCCGCTTTCCCCTCTCTCTGTCTGCCTGCCTCTCTGCCTACTTGTGATTTCTGTCTGTCAAATAAATAAATAAAATCTAAAAATAGATAAATAACTAAAAAGGAGAAAGAGAAGACCAATAATCTAAGTAATCTACACAGGAAAAAAAAAAAAGAAAAAGAAAAAGGGACCAGGCTTTCCTTCTCCGCCGGCTTTGAAGAAGTAGCTGGCAAGCGGAGAGAGGGCCACCATGCCAAGGAACTGAGAGCAGACGTCCGCCGACACCCAGTGGGAGAGCAGGCCCTGGGGCCTGCACCACAGGAACCGAATTCGGCCAACAACCGCGAGAGCTTGGAAGACAACCAGAAGCTCCAAAAGGAATGCAGCCCAGCCAACCCTCAGACGGCAAGCCCTTAAGCCATGCCCCAACCCTAAGCCTCGGAAGGGGTGAGGGAACAAATAAAATGCTCTTCCAAACCATGAAGTTTGCGGTAAGCTGTCACAGAGCACAGCAAACGGACACCGCGTGAGTCTCGGGACGGCTCCCAGGGACCCCGTCCAGCCCTGTCTCCTGGCGGCCCTACAGCACCTGCCGTCACCAGGGTCCTGGCACGCAGGAAGCGCGTTCAACCGTTTTCACTGAGACCTACCTCCAGAAACTCGAACTCATCCCCCTTGGTCAGGGCAAGTTCAACCTCCTCCTTCAGATTCTGGATCTCACTCCTCTTCTTGAGAAGGATCTGATAGATGTTGTCAAACTTGGTATTGACCCTCTTCTCCTCTTCCTTTATCTTCCGTGTGGAGGTGGCCTCTGCAGCGTCGATGAGCGCCTTGATTTCCATGTACTCCTGTCTCAGCTGCTCCATCCTCCGATTCGTAGCCTCCTAATAGGGCCAAGACACAGTGGACAGCCCAGGAAGTTAAGCCCGCGGTACCAAGTGCTGGTGAGATGTGGAGCAGCAGGAACTCTTTCCTGTGCTTCGTGGGAGACCAAATGGGCACAACTGCTTTGCACGGGACTTTGGCAAAGTCTAATGAATCTGAAGGTGCTCCTCCCCAACCCAGGCAATAGCCTCTAGAAAAACACTCAGACCCCTGCCCCAGAGACAGACCCAAGAACGCTCCTAGAAGAACTGCTTGCATTAGCAGAACCCTGGGAACAACCAAATATCTATCAGTAAGATACAAATCTTCAAATTATTCATAGAATAGGATATTAAATAGTAATGAAAACTAATGAACTAGGGCAAGGCACGGACAAATTTCCACGAGGGAAAAAACAACGTGCAGAAGACAGCTCGGGCGTGATGCTTTTTATGTAGAGCTTAGGAACAAAGAGAATGGCTTCCTCTTAGGAAGAGAACACCCCCGGGGTTTCCCAGGGTACATGGCTATCCCGCCACAGACGACGTCCCCAGCCACCCCTGCAGCTAGATGCGGCCACGGGACTAAGCCGCTCCCAGTGCAGCATGAGCACAACACTTTTCTCCCCTGTCCCCTCTTCTGCAGGCTCAAACAAAGACATCATGGTGACCCAGCTCCAACCAGAGGTGAGAAACCCCCTGCAGTATGGGGTAGTAAGAAAAGACTCTGAATCCTGCATAATCGCCTGGAACGGAGACACCCCCACTAGTCTGGGCAGCTCACATCTGGCACTGAGCTGCCAAACGGAGCCAAAGAAACTTCTATTTTATTTAAGACTCTGAATTTGGTGGTGGTGGTGGTGGTGAGGGGTAATCTCTATCAACAGTTTAGCCCGCCCCTTCCAAACAGTACACATGCTTTCCCGTACATGCCTTCACCTAAACTACAAGGCCACCATCAGGGAAAAGCTGTGACTCCATTGTGCAGCTGGAAAAACTGAGGCTCAGAGATCTGCCCACAGCGGGCAAGTATCACAGGCTATTTTGTAACACAGCTGGTATTCTAACTCAGAACTCATCTAATTACACCACAGCTGCCACCATAAAACCAGACGCTACGGCTCTAGAGCAGGATATTTAAAACTCAAATCTTCTTTCAATATATTCCTTCAGGGGCACCTAGCTTCCTCAGTCAGAAGAACATGCGACTCTTGATCTTGGGGTCATGAGTTCAAGGCCCACAGTGGGTACAGAGATTACTTACATAAACGTAAAACAAATAAATAAATAAATAAATAAACTTAAAACACATATAGGTATTATATTATATAAAATATCATTTTATTATATGTTTTATATATTTTTTTACTTATACATATAAAATACATATGTATTCTTTTAATATATAATATTGAAAACCTTACAAAACTTATAAAAACTAGACCCCCAAAAATCTCTCATTCTACTCATCCAATGCTTCTGCTACTCTTCTGTTACTATACTTCCTTTCAGTCTTTTTTCCTACACTTCCTGTAACGGGTTGAATGATGACCCTCCCCACAAAGATATGTGCAGATTTCCGAACCTGAGAAGGTGAGGTTACTTGGCAAAAGTCTTTGCAGATGTAATAAGGTAGGAATCTTGAGATGAGATTATCCTGGGTCACCCGGATGGGCCCCAAATCCAATGACAAAGATCCTTGTTAGTGACAGAAGAAAAGACACAGAGGAAAGAGGAGGCCATATGAAGACAGAGGCCGGGGCTGGAGTGACACCAGCCACAAGCCCAGGAACTCCTGAGCCTCCGGAAGCTGGAAGAGCCAAGGAAGAATTCTTCCCTTGAACCAGGAAGTGTGGCCTTGACTGATTCTGAACTTCTGGCCTCCAGGACTGTGAGTGAACACATTTCTGTCTCTGTAAGCTGAGCTGGGGGAAACTGGTTAGGATAGCTCTAGAAAACCAACACACTTGCTTTTTATAAATAGAACTCTAGTGGGTATACACTTTTGTTTCCTGTTTTTTTCCCATTTAAATCATAACCACTTTTTAGATGAGTACTTTTTTTCCTCACGATCTTTTTTTTTTTTTTTAAGTAAGCTCTACGCCCAATGTGGGGCTCGAACTCACAACCTCAAGATCAAGAGTCACATGCTCTACCAACTGAGCCAGTCAGGCGCCCCTCTATGACTACTTCATGGTCCTAATTTTTTTTTTTTTTTTTATTTCCCTCTATGTCTTTTTTTTTTTTTAAGATTTTATTTATTTATTTGACAGACAGAGATCACAAGTAGGCAGAGAGGCAGGCAGAGAGAGAGGAGGAAGCCAGCTCCCCGCTGAGCAGAGAGCCCTATGTGAGGCTCGATCCCAGGACCCTGAGATTATGACCTGAGGTGAACGCAGAGGCTTAACCCACTGAGCCACCCACATGCCCCTATGGCCCTAATTTTTAATGATTGCCCCCGTCCTCCCCACACCAAGGTCAGAGCTCATGGACTCAGTTTAGGTCGACAAAGAATCTTTCCTGGGGACGCAGCTTTCTGGATGTCTTGACAGGTGGAGGTCTCTTCCTGACTCTGTGAGGGAAACCAACCCAAGCCCGGGGGCAGAGGTCGGCCGCAGAGCCCCGTCACTCACCCGCACATCGTGCTGCCGGGCTCTCACGTCCTCCAGAGCCCTCGAGGCCCCGTTGATCTGACTGTAGATGACGGTCAGCTTATGCTTCAGCTTGGTCTGCAGCGAAAACAACCAGCATGAGAGATCACTGGAGCCCAGCCCCCAACACCAGGGACCGCCCTGGCATCTATCCCACAGGTGCTTCTGCCACCCTGAGTCTTGCCTGCCTATAGCTTTTGGAAGCATTCTCATATTTATGGCCTCCCTTCAAACTTCTAGAGCAACAGTACAAGAAAGAAGTTGTGAGCACAGGTTTTGGAGACAGACCGACTAGTGTGCCAGGCCCTGTTTCCAGCTGTCCCAGCATCTCTCACCTGTGCCCTTGGCCAAGAAAGAGATACAAATGTTTCCACCTCCTAGGGCCAGTAGCAGAATTAACTGAAACAACGTATGAACTCAGCACAGTGCCGGGATTTTAGTAAGGACAAACTAAACATCCGCTTCTATTATCAGGAGCTTTTTCATTAACACCCATTTTTCAGACAATGAAACAGAGGCAAGGAGGCCAGCAAGGGGGCTGAGCTCACACAGAGCCAAGAACAAGCTGGAACGGTTGTTTCAAGGATGGCAGATGAGGTCTTCGGAGCCAGCTCTCCCACTGCAAACAACGAGAAAAGCAAAAACTGCAGGGAAGAAAAATCTGCTTACTGACAATCGGAGAGCTAATTAAGCAGGGAAGGATGATGGAGCCCAGAGCCGGGAGACGGCCATCCAGAGAGATAAGCCTGGCATCTGGGGTTGCTCTCCCAGAACCATCTGCCAATTCCAGAAGACAGCTGGAAGAGTCACTGTCAGCCTCGGGGAAGCAGGGGGACAAGAGTCAGGGTCCAAGGCTCATTTGTTTGGCTCCAAGGGTAGGGACCTCCACAGGCTATACGCTAGGAATAAGGATGAACAAGCGGTAGCCCAGCCCCCCATCGGCAAAATCCCTGAAACGGAACTAAGGTGACTCAGAATTGTTAAGTCCCTAGTCACCTCCAGGAACCAAGGCCAATTACGCATGAAGGGAGACAGTATCATCCGGGGCCTCTTAGTATTTCTATAAATTTTCAGAATCCGTATCGGGAGCGACCCCCCCTCCCTGCTCAGGTGACATGCTGGGGCACAGAAACAGGGAAGGGAAAAAAACCCAGCCCCAGAATAAGAGCAGCTAGCGTTTCTTATATACGCAGTGCAAGCTGGGCCCCGTGCTAGTGCTTTACAGGTGTTAACTTATTGAAAGCTAAGAACAACACTGTAAGGTGCGAGTTACCCATCCTTTCGAAGAATGGACTCACATCACTGTTAACTGGTGTTACAAGGTCCCAGTGTTATTACAATTAAAGCACTGAGGACACAGGAAATGTCCAGGAAAAAACACTTACTTCCCCTAACAAGCCGGCTCCACACCCTCCAGCCTGCCCCCTCCACTTTCCTGCCTCTCCCACTCCACTAGAGATATTCAGATCTAAACCTGACCTTGAATCTGGATTTGAACAACCCAGTGACAGCCAACTATAAGGGCTGGAAGCAGAGATTAAGGGCTGGAAGCAGGGATCAAGGTCACACTAACTTGACACTGAAAGTCCAAGTTACTGATGGTGTTTCAGATTCAACCTCTGTGACAATGCCCTTTGACCTGGCCTCTAACAGTGGCCAAGATAAACTGGGCCATAGGCAGAAGGGCAGGCCAAGGCAGATCCTGACTCACAGGTCTCAGTGCTGGAAGAGAACTCAGAAAACCCGGGGACTGCCGACTGTTCCACCTCCAACAGCAGTGCACCCCAAAACTCTATGTTTGGTAAAATTCTATCCACCATGAATGAGATGCATATATGACAGTCCCCTGATGGCAGAGAGAGGGTCCTATGTGACTCCAGACAAAGGAAAGTGGCCCAAGGACTTTGAGAGAGACAACAGTCCCCTCACTGAGGGTAAAGAACTTTCTGAAGTGGAGGATCTATTCACAGACTGAGGACCTGAGTTCTCCATGAAGATGTGGGAGGCTCCAAAGTCCCGAGTGTGGGGTGGACTCTGGCCAAGACAAGCCAGCCACTCAGGGCTGGGGCACTGCCCAGATAGGGCTGGCTCTGTCCGAGTAGGGAGCAGCAGCAGGGCTAGAGGGGGAGGCTGATCAAGGGACTTGGCAAGCCAGGACAATGGTGAGGAGCAGGGAGGTGGCAAGGTCAGGCCTATTACAAGGATTACAAAGCCAAGCGTGTGTGACAAACAAGTACGAGGGAAGTGATGATCTCCCCCAAACCACTAAAATCATCACAGACCTCGAAGTCTCCTTAGAGAGCCACCTGGTCCCACCTCCTCACTTTACTGATGAAGACTCGGGCCCAGGGGCCAAAGCTGTGCCAGAAGTCGTACTGCAGGGGTGGAGAGCACTGCCGTGCAAGAGTCTGGCTCAGCCTGTGGGTAGCACCCAGAGCTATCTGGCACCTGGCCCATGCTTCTGCTCATAACGACCCTCCCGGCTCACTGGAACTCTCTGGCTCACCCCAACTTTTTGTTCACGTGACCTCAAGCCTCCAGGAATATCCCATGCTCCACGAACTCGGGTATCAGGCTTGTCATGGGGACAAGCAGCAAACTGTAGAGTCCAACCAGCCGGGCTCCCGGTGCCTGCCTGGCCACTTACTGGGGTAGCTCACCCTAAATTAACTTCTCTGGACCTCCATTTCCTCAGCTGTACCATGGACCGAATAATATCCACCTCTGGGATGATGCCAAGATTCCACGAGGGAACCGAGGGAGCCTCCAGGGCTCATATCCAACGTGCGAAACCCTCTACAGACTTAAGGCAAGCAACCTCAGCTGTCCTCAGTGGTCCCCTCTGTAAGACGGGGAGGAGGGGGAAGACGGTGGGCCACGGATGACGGAGGAGGGCTCTATGATCTCCTTGCCCCTTTGCACTCTGACATCAGGGACGCCCCTGCCCCGGTTCTTGGGCCCGGCGAGACCCATCCTGCCCCCGGTGAGCCGCGGTGGACCACAATGCCCACAGCGGCTCCCTCCGCACCGCCCAGCAGCCCAGGCTGCCGCCCTGTGCCCTTGCCCGCCACCCTCTACCTCCAGGTCGGCGCTGGCCTGGCTCAGGGGCACAGGCGAGCAGGCCTTGTGCTCCACTAGGCAGATGTGGCAGATGCACTCGTCGTGCTGGGGGCAGAATAATTCCCGCAGCCGGTTGTGCCGGGGGCACTTGCGGCGCATCAGGTCCTGGACGGGGGGCTGCAGCTGGTGGTCCCGGAAGGCGGGGCTGTCCAGGTGCGGCTGCAGGTGCTCCCGGCAGAAGGAGGCCATGCACACCAGGCACGTCTTGACGGCGGCCTCCTTCAGGCAGTGGTCGCAGGCCACCGGGCCCGCTGGGCTGGGCGCGGCGGCGCGGGTGGGCAGCTTCCAATCGTCGGGGGGCGGGGGCGTCGCCCGGGCCTCCTCGGCCTGCAGGAACTGCTCCACCACCGCGCACAGCACCGTGTTCTTGCGCAGCTGCGGCCGCGCGTGGTAGCTGGCGCGGCACTGGGGGCACAGATACGGCGAGCCCTGGACGGCCCACGTCTCGTCCAGGCACGAGCCGCAGAAGTTGTGGCCGCAGGGCGTGGTGACCGGCTCCTTGAAAGGCTCCAGGCAGATGGAGCACGACAGCTCCTCGGCCAAGGGGACCAGCTCCGCCATGGCGCTCCTGGGGACTGGGCCGGATGCGCTGGAACTGCGGCCGCGACCGCCACACACGACCGCCGGAGGCCCGCGAGGAAACGAAACTGAGCGGCGGGAGGGGCGGGGCCCGCGGGCCTCCAGGAAGTCACGTGGGGGGCAGGGCGGGCCGCGCGGGGTTACCCTGGGGTGCCGGGGGTCGTGTTGCGAGCTGAGCCAGGCGGCCGCGCTGGGAGCCCCGACGGCTCGGCTGAGTGGGCGTGGGCTCCGGGCTCGGGGTCTCAGTTCGTCCCCACGAGCTGCAAAGGTTTCTGTCCGCGCTCCCCTACCCCCCGGGCGGAGGAGGAAACCTGCGCGGCAGGTGGGGAACCCCGGCCGGGGTGGCGCTCCTGCCCCAGCGCCTGCAGCTAGTGCCTTCTGCGGAGAACTCACCGGGACACGCGCTGCCCCCTCCGCGCCCTCCGGGGAGAGTGTCTATCCGTCCTCGCCTTGAAGACCTAGGTGTTGAACCGAGAAGCTGCCCCTCCTTGCCACGTTTATAAGCCCTTCCTTCTTCCCCCCGGTTGGGCTCTGGCTCATGGGGATATGATCCCTGAAGGCCGGAGCTCCTTGGCACACAAAAAGCTGGCGATTTCTTTCCATATCAACCAGTAGAACATGCAGTTTTGTTTTGTGTTTAATTTCCGTTCTACTTTACTGGGCTTTGCAGATATCCTAGGGGTTTTGTTGTTTTGTTTTGTTTTGTTTAAGATTTTATTTATTTATTTGACACAGAGAGGGAGATCACAAGTAGGCAGAGAGGCAGGCAGAGAGAGAGGGGGAACAGGCTCCCTGCTGAGCAGAGAGCACTATGTGGGTCTGGATCCCAGGACCCTGAGATCGTGACCTGAGGGAAGGCAGAGGCTTAACCCACTGAGCTAGGCAGGCGCCCCGGGTTTGTTTGTTTGTTTTGTTTTGTTTTGAAGATTTTATTTGACAGAGGACAGAAGCAGGGGGAGCAAGAAACGGAAAGGAGGCTCCCCGCTGAGCAGGAAGCCCCCTGTGGGACTAGATTCCAGGACCTGGATTCACGACCTGAGCCAAAGGCAAACGCTTAACTTACTGAGTCACCCAGGCACCCAATATCCTAGAAAACAAAGGTTTCTCTCTCTCTCTCTCTCTCTCTCTCTCTCTCACACACACACACACACAAATTTTGAAACAAACGTTTTTCCCAAAATTGTTTATTTAGATTTGTTTCCTTTCATTCATCCAGCTCTGTTCCCCGGGGCCTGGGCACAGGAAAAGTGGGTATACAGGAGGGGAGAAGTATTGAGAGGGGTGGGGGCGGAAAAGAGAGGTAGGGTTTTGGGGAGAGTTTGCTGGACAGGATGAGCAGCAAACATAAGAAGGTAAATGTTTTAACTGCTTAAAGTAAAATCTACCACTCATGGGGCTCCTGCTCCGTTCAAGACAAGTCACATACCTTACCTCTTACAATCCTTATAAACCCTAGAAGACAGAACTTATTATGTCCATTTACAGATGAGGATCTGTATTTTGTTTTTTTAAGTAATCTCCCCGCCCAGCATGGGGTTCAAACTCAGGATCAACAACAGTCTGCTGCTTAAGGACTGAGCCAGCCAGGGACCCTCCCCTCATTTTAAGTAATCCTTTTAAACTTAAAATTACATTTTAAGTAATCTCTCTGCCCAAAGTGGGGCCCAGAATAGGGTCACTTATTTTATACAAAACAGCTGAGATTCAAACTCAGGACTGCTCTGCTTAAAATTCTAATTCCTGGTTTTCCCATTTCTGTTCCTCCAAGACTCTTAACCCCATTTCTTCTCCTCTGTATTGTGTTGGTGTTCTTTGCTTGGGGAGGAGGAAGGCAAAAGGGTAGGAGGGGTTAGGAAATCAGCTTTGTGTATAGTATCTCATTTAATCCTCACACTAAATCTTTGAGGTAGATATTATCTCATGTTACAGATGAGAAAACCAAGGCTTAGAGAAGAGAAATAATTGTTGCCTTAAACAACAGATACTGGCATGCAGCCTATCCCATTCTAGAAGCCAAACATTTCCTACTAGAAGATGTTGCCTCCCAAAGGGAGGGATGGAGCCGTTTACAGGAAGTAAATGTTATGAAACACCCTATGACTTAGCTGTTGTGGGTGAGGTAGCCTGGTGACTCAACCAGAATGTCTGTAGAATTTTCTGAGATTTTAGAAGGGCTAGTGAGTGAAGAGGAACATAGTCTGTTTATCAAATTCCAGGCAATAGATATTTACTAAGACCTACTGAGATAGGGAAGCTGAAGAAAGGCCCCATTTTCTCACGTTCTATAGTTCACCTTGCGTCTGGGTAAACCAGAGAAGCTAACTTCCCACTCCCAAGGGGGAAGCAAGGAACAGAATTGTTCTCTGAGTTTCATCCTGGCCCCTAAACACCTGATAACATCTGAGAAGAACCGGGTCCCAAACATTAGCTTTGAACAAACCTCGGCCCACAGTGGCATCAATATCCCCGCCTTTGGTGATGAATGGGAGAACACCTGTTGTTCACCTGACAGGCCCTTTGATCGACCCCTACCTGAATTCCTGGAGGAACACGTACCCTGGACCACTTTCCTGTATAAACCCCTAGCCACAAGTGACAAGGAGACTCACTTTTCCTTTTCCGAGTCTCCCAGACACTGTCTACTAGACCATATCCCTACTCAATAAACCCTGTGCTCACTTCCTCCTGGCTCACATTTGATTTCTCTCCTGACTGAATCCAAGGGCCCTCCTGACTGATCCTGTGAGGGCCCCCAGTGGGTCCTTAGACCAGGCCTGCCTATATCACTATGATGCTAAAGTCATCCCATTGTGGTTAGAGAATAGGCTTTGGATTATTTCAATCTTTTAAAATTTACTGTTTTATTTCCTAAATGTGGTCTATTCTCTTGTGGGTTACTGTTTGCATGGTACCTCTTCTCCCGTCTTTGTCCTTCCAACCTATTTGTGTCTTTGAATCTAAAGTGTGGCTTCTATAGACAGCGTATAGTCAGATCATGTTTTTTGGGGTCTTTTTGCTTTGTTTTGTTTTGTTTTATGCATCCTGCCAATCTCTGCCTTTTCGCTGGAGTGTTTAACCCATTTACATTAATGATAAGGTAGGGTGTACATCTGCCATTTGCCATTTATTTTTATGTCTTATATCTTTTTTTGTTCTTCTGCTTCTCCATTACTGCCTTCCTTTGTGCTAAATATTTTCTAGTGTACTATTTTTATTCCTTTGTTCAAATATTCTTTCTGCCCTCCCTCTCTCCCCTCTCCTCCAGAAACTCCCATTCTGTGTATGTGGGTATGCTTGTTGGTGTCCCATAGGTCCCATAGGTCTGTGAGGTTCCCTGATTCTTTTCCCTTTCTGTTTCTCGGACTGGATCATCTCAATTGATCTGTATATCCAGATCCACAAAGTCTTTCTTCCACCTGCTCAAATCTGCTATTGAACTCCTGTGGTGAATTTTTCATTTCATTTCTTTTACTTTTCAACTCCAGAATTTCCATTTGGTTCTTTAAAAAAAAGAAAAAATGAGGGGGTGGGAGGCACCTGTTACAGCTGGGTTAAGTATCCAACTCATGGTTTCAGCTCAGATCGTGATCTCAGGGTTGTGAGACTGAGTCCCACGTCAGGCTCCACGCTTAGCACAGAGTGTGCTTAAGACTGTCTCTCCCTCCTCAAAATGGATGAAGGACCTCAATGTGAGAAAGGAATCCATCAAAATCGTTGAGGAGAACACAGGCAGCAACCTCTTCGACCTCAGCTGCAGCAACTTCTTCCTAGGAACATCGCCAAAGGCAAGGGAAGCAAGGGCAAAATGAACTATTGGGACTTCATCAAGATCAAAAGCTTTTGCACAGCAAACAGTCAACAAAACCCAAAGACAACTAACAGAATGGGAGAAGATATTTGCAAATGACATATCAGATAAAGGGCTAGTATCCAAAATCTATAAAGAACTTATCAAATTTAACAACCAAAGAACAAATAATCCAATCAAGAAATGGGCAGAGGACATGAACAGACATTTCTGCAAAGAAGACATCCAGATGGCTGACAGATGAAAAAGTGCTCCTAATCAGTCGGCATCAGGGAAATACAAATCAAAACCACAATGAGATATCACCTCACACCAGTCAGAATGGCTAAATTAACTAGTCAGGAAATGACAGATGTTGGTGAGGGTGTGGAGAAAGGGGAACCCTCCTACACTGCTGGCGTGAATGCAATCTGATGTAGCCACTCTGGAAAGCAGCATGGAAGTTCCTCAAAAAGTTGAAAATAGAGCTATCCTATGACCCAGCAATTGCACTACTGGTATTTACCCTAAAGATACAAATGTAGTGATCCAAAGGGGCACGTGCACCCGAATGTTTATAGCAGCAATGTCCACAACAGCCAAACTATGGAAAGAACCTAGATGTCCATGAACAGATGAATGGATAAAGAAGATGTGATACACACACACACACACACACACACACACACACACACACACAATGGAATACTATACAGCCATCAAAAGAAATGAAATCTTGCCATTTGCAACAGCATGGATGGAACTAGAGGGTATTATGCTTAGCGAAATAAGTCAATCAGAGAAAGACAATTACCATATGATCTCCCTGATATGAGGAAGTTGAGAGGCGACGTGGGGGGTTTGGGGGATAAGAAAAGAACAAATGGAACAAGATGGGATCAGGAGGGAGACAAACCATAAGAGACTCTTAATCTCACAAAACAAACTGAGGGTTTCCCGGGGGAAGGGGGGTAGGGAGAGGGTGGTGGGGTTATGGACACTGGGGAAGGTATGTGCTATGTTGAGTGCTGTGAAGTGTGTAAACCTGGCAATTCACAGACCTGTACTCCTGGGGCTAAAATACATTTTATGTTAATAAAAAAATTAAAAATTAAAAAAAAAAGACTGTCTCTCCCTCTCCCTCTGCCCCTCCCCACCTCTCTCTCTCTCCCCGTCTCTCAAATAAATAAATCTTTTAAAAAATATTTTTTTCTATCTCCTTACTGATCCTCTATTGAGAGAGACATCATTTTCATACTTCACTGTATGAAGTGAAGGCTTTGGATTATTTCAATCTTTTAAAATTTACTGTTTTATTTCCTAAATGTGGTCTATTCTATTGTGGGTTACTGTTTGCATGGTACCTCTTCTCCCGTCTTTGTCCTTCCAACCTATTTGTGTCTTTGAATCTAAAGTGTGGCTTCTGTAGATAGCGTATAGTTAGATCATGTTTTTTGTTTTTTGTTTTGTTTTGTTTTGTTTTATGCATCCGCCAATCTCTGCCTTTTCGCTGGAGTGTTTAACCCACTTACCTTAATGATAAGGTAGGGTTTACATCTGCCATTTGCCATTTATTTCATACAGTGATGTATTTTTCATTCTTCACTGTATGAAAATGATGTCTTTAGATGAGTTTTCCTAATGCTCTTTGAACATATTTAAAATAGCTGATATTTAAAATAGCCTGGGTAGTTCAGTGGGTTAAGCCTCTGTCTTCGGCTCAGGTCATGATCTCAGGGTCCTGGGATCGAGCCCCAAATCAGGCTCTCTGCTCAATGGGGAGCCTGCTTCCCCCTCTCTCTCTGCCTGCCTCTCTGTGTACTTGTGATCTCTCTCTCTCTCAAATAAATAAAAGAAAATCTTTAAATAAAATAGCTGACTGATTTAAAGTTTTTATCTAGTAAGTCCAACACCTGCACTTCCTCAGACACAATATCTATTGATTTTTTTCTTATATGGGCCATTTTTGTTTCTTTGTATTGTGAATTTTTTTTTTCAAAATTGGACATTTAAAATAATGCAGTGTGGCACTGTGGAGACTGGATTCCCCCTCCCCAGGATTTGTTGTTATAGCTGTTTGTCACTGTTTTTGTTTAGTGACTTTTTGGAATTAATTCCATAAAGTCTATATACCGAGTCCCAGCTCAGTTGGCTTAGTGATCACCTAATGACTGGATGGAGATTTCCACAAATCCCTAGAACCAATAATTTTTCCAGTATTTTCCAAGGGCTCAGACTTGTTTGTAGCCCATTGGTTTTCAAGAGTACCATGGAGCTGGGGGTGGGGTAATAGAACAGAACAGAGCCAGTTAAAACACCCAAACTTGCTGTCCTCACCAGGATTAAGCCACTTCTCTTGAATAAGCATTCCCTGAATTTGGCAAGTTCTTCACTAATTTCCAGGGTTCTGAAAACCTGGATCCCAACAATTTTGTTAGTTTTCTTCTATGGAAGAAGAATTTTCAGAGGTCCTTCACAATATAATGATTTATAAGAAACATCTGTTATAAGAAATATCTATTTGGCCATTCAAATGACCAAAATATATTTCTAGATATATTTGATCTTCACCCAGTTCCTGAAAACACCTCAGAATCATAAAGGTGAAATGGGTGGCTTGTCATTAACAAAAGGGACTTTTGGACCCCACCCGAGGATGGGGAATGGTTGCCAAGAGGACCAAGTGATTAGAAGGTTGGAAATTTTAGTCCCCGCTGTCTCCACCTCCAGAGAGGAAAGAGGGCTGGAAGTTCAATCAGCCAATGACCAGTGACCTAGTCATTCATGACTGTGCAACGAAGCCTCCATAAAAATCCAAGAGAGCAGCTTTTTTGTCCTTTCCAGAGAGCCTCCATGCTTGGGGAACCAGAACACTTTCACGTATCACAGAGCCAGGCCCCAAAGCTCCAAGGGGACAGAAGCCCCTTTGTTTGGGATCTTGCCCTATGTATCTCTTCATCTGACTACTGAGTCATATCCTTTATCACATTCTTTTATAAACCGGTAGCCGTTAAGTAAGTAATTCCCCTGAGTTCTGTGAGCTACTCTAGCAAATTAATCAAACTTAAGGAGGAGCTTGTTGGAACCTCCAGTCTATAGCCGGTTGGTCAGAAGTGCAGGGAAAAGTCTGGGACTTGTGACTGGCAACTGACGTTACAGATGGGGAGCAGTCTTAGAGGACTGAACCCCTAACCTATAGAATCTGGTGCTATCTCCAGGTAGAAAGTGTCAGAGCTGAGTTGAATTCTCAGACACCCTGCTTGGTGTTGTTGGGGGAATTCCCCACCCATATCAGAATTAGGTTCAGGAACCCTAAAAGATTCTTATTCTGTCATTTTTGCTGATGTCACCATGTCAGTAGTAATAACCCCTCTTTCATTCATGATATAAGCCATTTTTGTTTTCTTTCTTTTTCTCTTGATTAATCTATCTGTTATTAATTTTACTGATTTTTTTGAAGAATCAACTTTTGGCTTTAATTTTCTGTCATGTATATACTCTTTTTTGGCATTGACTTCTTCTCTTATCTATTATTTCCTCCTATTTATTTTTGGTTTAATTTGCTCTTCTTTTTCAAACTTATGATTAGATTATTATTGCTAAACTTTTTTTCCCTATCTAACAAAGACATTTAAAACTATAAATTTCTCGGGGCACTTGGGTGGCTCAGTGGGTTAAAGACTCTGCCTTCAGCTCAGGTCATGGTCCCAGGGTCCTGGGATCGAGCCCCGCATAGAGCCCCGCATCGAGCTTCCTGCTCGGCGGGGAGCCTGTTTCCCCCTCTCTCTGCCTGCCTCTCTGCCTACTTGTGATCTCTATCTATTAAATAAATAAATAAAATCTTTAAAAAAACAAACAAAAAAACTATAAATTTCTCTTTAAGCACTGCTTTCATATTATTCCACAAGTTTTGATATGTGTGTTTTCATTATCATTCCATTCAAAATACTGTCTAATTTCCTTTGTGTTTTCTTCTTTGATGCATTAGCTACTTATAAGGATATGGCTTCATTTCCAAGTATCTGGAGCATCCCTGGATATATTATTGTTATGGATTTCTAATTTAATGCAATCTTTGCTCTACTATCTCAGACACTTGTCTTTTGAAATATGTTAAGACTTATTTTATGGCTCAGCATTTGGTCTATCTTAATGAACATTCTTAGTGTACTTGAAAAAAAGTGTGTTTTCCATTTATTGAATGTATAAATGTCAAGTATATCAAGGCTCAGATCTTCTGTATCTTTCCCAATCTTTATCTAGTGGTTTTACCAATTTCTGACAGGAGATGTTAATTTCTTCAATATGATAATGAACGTGTCGGTTTCTTAGCTAGGGAGAGGCAAGAAGAGTCCCTCCTACAAGTCCCAGAGAGAGCCTGCGTCCTTCTGGGAGCATGACACCTTAAATTAGAACCATGAGAGAATGAAATTTTGTTGTTTTGTATCACCTAGTTTGTGGTACTTTATAATGGCAACCCTAGGAAATTAATACAGGTACACGCCATTAAGGATTTTATATATTTCTTATTATTTAAACCCTTTATAATCATGAAAAGTCCCCCTTTGGTGTACCTGGCTGGCTCAGTCAGTAAAGCATGCGACTTTTGATCTCAGGGTTGTGGTTTCAAGTCCCTCGTTAGGTGTAGAAATTACTTTAAAAAAAAGTCTTTAAAAAAGAAAAGAGGGGCACCTGGGTGGCTCAGTGGGTTAAAGCCTCTCCCTTCAGCTCAGGTCATGATCCCAGGGTCCTGGGATCGAGCCCCACATAGAGCTCACATCGGGCTCTCCGCTCAGCAGGGAGCCTGCTTCCTCCTCTCTCTCTCTCTCTCTCTCTCTGCCTGCCTCTCTGCCTAATCTGTCAAATAAATAAATAAGATCTTAAACAAAAAAGAAAGAAAGAAAAAGAGAAGTCCTCCTATATCTCTCAAAATAATCTTTCTCTTAAGATCTATTCTGTCTGGGGGTGCCTGGGTGGCTCAGTGGGTTGAAGCCTCTGCCTTCGGCTCAGGTCATGGTCCCAGGGTCCTGGGATCGAGCCCCACATCGGGTTCTCTGCTCAGCGGGAAGCTGCTTCCTCCTCTCTCTCTGCCTGCCTCTCTGCCTACTTGTGATCTCTGTCAAATAAATAAATAAATTTAAAAAAAAAAAAGATCTATTCTGTCTCATAGCAGGAGTCACACCAGATTTATTACCTTACTCTTTCAATGGTATAGCTTTCTATCCTGTCACTTTCAACTTCTCTGTGTCTTTATGTTTAAAGAGTGTCTCTTTTAGACTGAACATAGTTGGTTCTTGCTTTTTTGTCCACCCTGATAATCTCAACCTTTTAGTTAGTCCATTTGTAATTAATGTATTGATTTTTTTTAAAAAAAGATTTTATTTATTTAACAGAGAGAGAGACCACAAGTAGGCAGAAAGGCAGGCAGAGGGAGAGGGGGAAGCGGGCTCCCCACTGAGCAGAGAACCCGATGTGGGGCTCTATTCCAGGACCCTGGGATCATGACCTGAGCCGAAGGCAGAGGCTTCAACCCACTGAGCCACCCACGTGCCCCTAATGTACATACTGATTTTTAGGTTTGCCAAACTGCTACTTGCTTTTTAGTTATCTCTTTGGGTTTTTTCCCCTCTTTACCAGTCTTTCTTCACATTGATCAAATATACTATACATTTCAGGGGTGCCTGGGAAGTTCAATCAGTTAAGCATCTGCCTTCCAGTCAGATCATGATCCCGGGGTCCTGGAGTTGAAGCCCACATGAGGCTCCTTGCTCAGCGGGGAGTGTGCTTCTACCTTTACCTCTGCTTTTCCCTCCCTACTTGGGCTCGCTCTCTCTCTCTCAAATAAATAAAATCTTCTATATATATATATATATACTATACATTTCTGTTTCTTCTTAGCAGCCTTTTACCTATACTTTTTATTTTTCTAGTAGTCTTCTATGTGTTATAATATACATTTTTAGCTTATCACAGTCTACTTAGAATATTGCATTAGTAATTCATATAAAATATGAGAATCTTATTACATTAAAATTTCATTTACCATGGCTTTGGCTATTGTCGTTCTTTTGCTATTGTTGCCATATACATCATATATACTTACATAATAAACCCCACAACTATTGTAAAAGTCATTAAACAAGAAGTCATTAGGGTGGGATGGCTCTGATGTTTTGGCAGCCAACATTAGCAAGCCAAAACCTATGCCAGAGTCCATTCCTGTAAGTGCCTTGAGGTTAGGAAGCAAAACTTAAAAACAATCAGTCACAAACAGTGAACTAGGCTTTCCCAAATAAGGCAACTGCTTAAGCTATAATTAAATAACACAAACTTTCTCCCAGCTCCTGCCAATAGAGCACCCGTAACCACTTCAGGTCTGGCCGCTGCCTGATACAAATCAATGTTTGTTCAAATGAACGCTTCAAAAATGTAATGTGCCTCGGTCTTTCTTTTAACAGTATTCTATTATTACATTTATTTTAAACAATGAACTTCCAAAAAAATTTTTTTAAAAATTAAAGAAGAAAATATGTTTACATATAAAGAGATAGACAAATTCCCCACATATTTACCAATCCCAGGGCTCCTCCTTTCTTCTTACAGATAGCAGTTTACTGCAGCATATCCTGGAGGGCAGACCATCTGGCAATGAATTCTTACAGCTTCTGTTTATCTGAAAATGCCTTTCTTTCATTTCAATTCTAAGGGGTAATTTCACAGGATATATAATTCTAAGTTGACTTTCTTTCCTTCCAGCTCTTTATAAAGAGGTCATTCGAGGGGTGCCTGGGGGGCTCGGTTCCTTAAGCAGCTGGCTCTTGATTTCAGCTCAGGTCACGATCGATCACAGGGTCCTGGGATCCATCAAGCCCCATGCTGGGCTCCACACTCAGTGCGGAGTCTGCTGGAAGATCATCTCCCTCCCTCTCCCTCTGCCTCTCCCCCTGCTTGCACTCTCTCTAAAATAAATCCACTTAAAAAATATATTATATATCATTCTATTGTCTCCTGGATCCCATTTTTCTGATGAGACATTAACTATCATTTGTACTGGTCTTTCTCTGCAGGTATTTTACTTCCTCTGGTGAGGTTTGAGATTATCTCCTTTTAATTTTCAGCATTTTAACTATGTCCTTGGGTGTCTTTTTTTTTTTTTAATCCTGCTTGGAGTTTGCTAGGATTCTTGGATTTGTAACTTGAATGTTTTCTCCAAATCTGGGTAATTTTTTGGACTTTGTTTCTTCAACATTTTTGGTCTCATTCTCTCTCTCCAGTTAACTATATGTCAGCTTGCTTGATATTATCCCA